CACTCCAGCACTGTCCACCTCCTGCCCTGAGACCCTCCAATCCTGCCAGTCCCCTGCCCTGACTACAGCCTCCCCACACCAAATCCTGTAACCTGAGCCCTTCACCCCCTGCCCTCATTCCGGCCCCTCCACCCTAACCTGAGTCCCCCAACCCTCCCCTGCTCCCTTCCCTCACTCCTACAACCCTACCCTGAGCCCCCCATACACCTAAACCTCTACCCTGACTCCTGCACCCCATCCCCTACCATGAGCCCCATACACACCCAAGCCTGCCGCCCTGACTCCAGCACCTGCTGTGAGCCCCCCAATTCCTGTCCTGACTCCTGCATGCCCCTCCTGCCCTGAGCCCAACCCTCCCCTGCTCCCTTCCCTCACTCCTACAACCCTACCCTGAGCCCCCCATACACCTAAACCTCTACCCTGACTCCTGCACCCCATCCCCTACCATGAGCCCCATACACACCCAAGCCTGCCGCCCTGACTCCAGCACCTGCTGTGAGCCCCCCAATTCCTGTCCTGACTCCTGCATGCCCCTCCTGCCCTGAGCCCCATCATTTTATGCACATTTCCTTTTAATTAAAAAATAAATAAATAAGGCCCTGAGCAAAACCAGCGCTAGGGTTACATCTGCTAGGAATAAATAAATCCCAATCCAGAGTCAGACACGAAGAGGGAAGGACATGCCTGCAATTCATGCTGGGATAACTTGAAAATGTCTCGAGCTAAGGGTAACGTCCGGGAGTCCATTACAAAATACAGGATTTGCATTAACCCGAGCAATCCAGTCCCACGTAGGTCTGTCCCAGGATCCAAACCTTGAGTACAAAAAACATACAGCAGGTAAGCCATGTACGCCTCTGTCCTGACTTGCTCGGTACATGCTCTCCTTGTCTTACTACGTCCCTGCCTTAGGGCATGATCTACACTCTACAATCCCAATCCACTGCCAGCCCTTATGGTTGCGGAGAAAACCTCAAAAACATCATCTAAGCATTAACTGGTGCACTGAGAGCTGCATGAATTTCCAGTCAGGGCTGCAACCTGTGAACCGCCCCATTCATCTGAGGGAACTGGGATTGTCCCTGATCAGCCACTGAATTCTGCATTTCCACTAAGCAGCATAGGCCTGGCTAGCAGAGACAAGCACAGCAAGGAGTGCAACCCTGGCCGGGCCACAGGCAGCAGGGCCGACAGCCGGGAGAGCAGTCCAGAGTGACGCCCAGGAGCACGGCTGGGGGTGGGGCCAATGCGGTGGGGAGCGCAGCACCGGCCCCAGAGGGAGAGGAGGGAAAGGGAGCACGGCCCCGGCAGGGCTAGGAGCAGCAGGGTGAGCAAGAAGCAGGGCTGACAGCCTGCAGGGGAGCCTTGACCTCCCCTGGCCCAGCAAACTCTGTAGTTCGGGACAGTTCAGGTCCCAAGGGTGCTGGACCAGGGAGGTCCCACCTGTACAACCAATGGGATTGCTACATGCAAATTAGCGACAGAGGATGTGTGAGAATTGATGAGTTCGCTCTGAAGTTATTTAACAGCTGCTCAAGTCACTTACTTTAGGTCACATCTACCCCACAAACTTTGGTCAATGCAAGTTACGTTGGCATAAAGCTGCCACCGTTAGTATATTGCTTGAATATATGCATACTTGGCTTGTGTCAATGATGTGTGTAGCCACCAGGAGTGCTTGTGTCAATGCACAGTGCAGTGCATCATGGGTAGGTATCCCAGTGTGCAAACAGCCACCTTTCAGTGCACTGTTTCTCAGGAAGTTTTGGTAACACACAAAGGGGCAAAACCTACAAACTAGGGTGATCAGGAGCAAAGGGCCAGCTTCCCAGCCTGCAACTTTATCCATCCCATAGGGTCCATCTAGGCTACAGGTTTTGTCGACAGAGGCTTTGTCGGCAGATACTGTCGATAAAGCTTCTGCTGATAAAGAGCGTCTAGACTGCATCCCGCTCTGTCAACAAAGCAAGCCGCTTTGTCGACATGAGAGTGTAGACACAAAGGACAGTGTAGATGCAATAACGCCTTCTGTTGGCAGAACTCTGTCGACAAAAGGCGTTATTCCTCGTAGAATGAGGTTTACAGCCGTCAACAAAACTGCCGAGTTCTGTCAACGTTATGTCGACAGAACTCGGTGGTAGTGTAGACGCAGGCATAGTTTTGTTGACAAAAGTTCACTTTTGTCGAAAAAACCTGGTAGTTTAGACACACCCTATAATATCCTCAATATGCCATAATTTTCACGCTTTTAAAAACAATCCCATAAACCCACATGGCCCTCCCCACGGTCTGCCATCTCTGAGGGAAGCCCAGAGCCTGCACAGTTCTGCATTATTGTCGTGAGAGTTGCACGTACAGGAATCACGACTCAGATTCACAGAGATACAAGAAGAACGGACTTCCCAGGGAACGGGATGCTTTCCCGACAACAGAGAACTGTGGGGCATAACGAAAATCAACACAAGGCTAGTGGTGGCGTTAACAGAGCAGCTGTAGATGGTGGAGTACCGTTTCTAGGCTCAATAAACGAGCACTGGTTGGTTGGATCAAAAGGCCACCTGTGTGTCGCACTCACAGGGACACCAAACTGATAGTGCAGAAGCAAGCAGCAATCCTGCTGTGGCAACCTGCAGTGCTAGATTGCTACCGGCCAGTGGGAAAGCCATTCTGCAGTTGGATATCCACAGAAAGGAGGCAGTTTTCATACAAGTCTGCAGGGCCATTGTCGGTCCCTTACTACACAGGACTGTGACTCTTAGGGTATGTCTACACTACCCCGCTAGTTCGAACTAGCGGGGTAATGTATGCATACCGAACGTGCAAATGAAGCCCGGGATTTGAATTTCCCGGGCTTCATTTGCATAAACGGGGAGCCGCCA